GGACATTGTTTGTGAGCCACCCTCTGCTGGGCAGTGACTATATGTATTAATCACATCAGAAAACCTTGCCTTTTCAGAAAATAAGTGTCTTCTTTCCATGTCCCAGTCTGCAACAGGTGTCCCTGAAGTCGTTTATTCCTTTCAGAGCTCCGCTCTGCCCAGGCTCCCGCCACCCAGCCTGGTCTGCTTTCAGTGCTGAGCCCAAGCTGGGTCTGCGGCTGATAACACATTCTTTTAACAGGAAGTGCCTCCATTTTCAGTTGTCTGTGGGAGGGTGGAGGGCAGATAAGCCCTGAATGGAAACAGAACAGATTTCTGCTCCACCCTCATACTGCACTTTGATCAGAGAAAGAGTCGGGACCTCTGCCTGCCTGAGGAGGAAAGATGGTTCAGTCGTGGGGACGCCAGTGCACTTTCCTCTCATTTTGTTTAGGAATACTTGTTAGTTTAGGTTAGTGAAGTGCCTGCTTTTGTTGAGTTGATGTCTGGTCTGAACTAAAGGGCTTCAAGGATATAGCTAGATGAGGGAAAACATGATTAACTTACTGAAATTTTTATTCGTGTGTGTGTGTGCACGCGCGCGCGTACTCGGTCCAGGGTCACAGTAGGTTTTTTCTGATTTTTCTCCCCCACATTGAACTGATTTTTGATAAGTGGTTTTTGAATGTCACCAATGAGGGTGAGTTAAGATCAACAATAAAACGAAAAACCACATTTCCTAAGGAGAGTCATGTCAGTTCTCAACTCTCACAGTAGAATACCAGTTTCCAAAACTCAGGTTAGTGAACCCATGTAGTGTGTTTGGTGTTTTAACTAATGTGGAACCGTGTTTCACATGTGCATGACTGGCTAGGCTCCCACCTATGTCAGGTGGCATGGAGATACTTTGGGGATACCTGGGGACTCTTTCTGATCCTCCCTTCTCTCTGCTGTGCCTCCACTCTGAAAACTCCCTATTTTTTCATGCTACTTTATGATGCTGTCCAGGCCAGCTCCTCCCCCAGGGCTTATGTCTTATGTTTCTGGTGCTAGAGTCTTTTCCCCAAAGTTAGACTGCACTGCACCTTTGAAATTAAAAAAGAAAGGTATAGATGACTATGGGTTGATTCTCTGTCCCGCATTCCCTCCTGAATTCTCTCAAAATATTTTGCATGTGCATGGCTAAGCTGTCATGATGCCATAGTTAGAATTTATATCTTTTTGTTTTTCATTTAACAATGCATTATGGGATTTTTTCCATTTTGCTACGTGAGCTTGTTATTTTTAATAATTGCGAAATAGTTCATTGAGCGGATATGCCTTGCTTTTTCAAGCCATCCGCATATCATTAGACATTAGATTATTTCCATGGTTTCCACTATTACAAGTAACCCTGCAATGACTGTCTTCCCATGTGGAGCCTTTTTTCCTTCCTTTGAATTCTTTCCTTATGGTATATTTCTAGAAGTGAAATTACAGAGCTAAGGAGGGTGTCAGTTTTTTGGTGGCTCTGCTAACTGCATTCTAAGATATGTACCAGAATGTGGACTGCTTCCCACTTGGACATAAATGTGAGGGTCCTGGGGTCATTACAATTTCATCATTATGTGTCATCATGGGATTTTTAATCTCTCTTTTTAAGGTATAGTCATCTTACAAAAAAGCTGTGTATTGCAGTATTTTGTGTTCAAATATTGTATTTGAAAATGACATTCTGAAACAGTGTGTAAAGTACTTGTCCTATTTTCTTTTTTTTTTTTTTAAAGAGACCCCTTCTCTCTTTTTTTTTTTTTTTAATTTTATTTATTTATTTATACAAGCACTGGGTACAGTCAGAAGCGCGGGAGGGTGAGAGAATTCACCAGAGCCAGAGCGGGGAGCAGAGCAGGCAGAAGGACCGAAGTACACTGCTGAGGGGAGCAGCGGGCGGCAGGAGAGGTCTGCGTGCCTATTGTCCTATTTTCTAACAGATGAATAATATGGCTTTTGATTTCAAATGAGCTGATAATTTTGCAGGAGCCCATCACTTATGTGAATTGGTGTTGCCTGCCTTTGGAATAGGACTCTCAGACTGCCATATACCATAGTAACATTGCCTAAATAAAGAAGGCAATAGGTATTTTAGTGGTAGCTTTTGGGATCTATTGTTCAAGTATAAGAATAATTCTCAAGGTATTGGGATTTTTTGAATGTGGCTTATATGAACAAGGATCAGTGATCCTCTTAACATCTTACAGAGGCACCTTGCTTTCTCTTTTCGAAGAGCTGTCGTAACAATTAAAATAAGGTCATCACTGAGGTGATTTTCATTTTGTTCTGTTCCCTCTCCTGTTCCCATCCAGAGATGATGGTGACCCGAGTACCTAACCTGGGCTGAAGGTTGAAATTGGGAAGATTAAATTAAGCCCATATTCCTTAACAACAGTAATAAAATATTAATGGAAGCAGTATATACTTGTCATCTTTAATGCTGCCAGCACCGGTATAAGGGCTTTAACAATAACTGATTCAATTCTTGCAACAGCCTTATGACTTAGTTGCACTTCACTTTGTGGAATGTTTAACATGGCAAAGCATCATGCTGACAGTTTTATAAACATTATCTCATTTAATTTGCACAAACACATATGAGGTAGGCAAGATGCAGGCCAGTTACCCCGGAGGAGGCTCAGGGAGGAGACCACACTCAGGAGGTGGCTGCGCCAGCCAGTACTTGGAAGCCTAAGCTGCGCCCCACCATGCAGACAGTCTGAGGCCCTTTCGCAGGCATCCTTTCCCCTCTGCAATTCCTTTTCTCACCATTCCCTACAGCCCCTTGTGTCATTCACTCATCATTCATAGTAGACAGTCAAGCAGCTTACTTTCCAGTCTGTTTCCTGACTCTGAGGAGGCCTAGGAGCTTCTGCAAGGCAGCAATTTCTTTGGGGCTCATATCATAGTGCCTGGTCCTCACAGGTACCTGTTGGTGCTTCTTTTTGCTGACTTGTGAAAGTGGTACTTGAAAATCATAGTTTTTTTTTTTTTTGTCAGACAGTATGCGCTCAGCTATTTCAACAATTTCACACGAATCTATTTTAAAACTTTAGACATTTTAGTGACTGAAATTTTATTTTTTTATGCATACATAGCCCTCAGTGTATATTTTTAAGTGTGTGTTGTTAATTTATTTAAAAAATTTTTAATTTAATTAGTTTTTTGAAAGATTTATTTTTTATTATTTATGTACACAAGAGCTGGGGTGTAGGCCAGGAATGTCGGGGATGAAAGAATTAACCAGAGACAGAATGGGGAGCAGAACAGACAAATTGACTGAAATACATTGCTGAGGGGGAACCACCGGGTGAGACATGATAGGTCTGCTGCACCATGTGGGTAGCTCCCTGTCCAGGGATGGAACTTGTGTTACTGTGGCAGCCGATAGCTTCATAGTGCTGAGACTTAACCCCTTGCACCACCAGGGAGGCCCCAAGTTGTGTTGTTTCAATAAAAGTTTGTGTTGGGGTTGCTTTTTGCTAGGAAAGAAAAGTATTGCATGCCTGTGGGGGGCCTGGACTTGGCCTGTCCAGTTGGGAGGAAGTTGGGATGGGCAAGGCAGGAATTCATGTGCTCAGACCCCCTGGAGTCTTGCTTCCCAGATTTACCAGGTTACTGCGAGGATTAGAGAAAACCAGAACTTGCCTAGCGAAGAGCAGGATCACATTTACTTCCAGTCCCCCAAGGGGTCCCTCAGAGGCTCTGTGACTCTTCTATTCAGTTTACCCTGTTTCTGGGCTGTAATATCAACTGTAACATCAACTCAGCCGCACAAATGGATAGTTAAGGATTTAATGGGATTGTGTATATAAAAAGGGGAAGTTTTGAAATGTACAAAATGTTTTACCTATGTCAAAAAAAGTGTCTAGAAATTTGTGGAAAAGTACCCTGAAAGCTAGGAAGAAATAATGGGCTTCTGAGTTTTTAGAAGGAAAAGCATGATTTAAAATACATGATTATTCTGTTTTGATTCTACTAAAATAAAATGTTTCATATTCAGCCTCTCATTTTGATAGGAGAAGAAAGGAATGAAACAGAACAAGGTGACCTGTTTGCCGTGATTATGACAGATATAGGGTGTGGGCATTTTCTTTATAATGCGATCTGCTTCAAACATTCTCTGTTCTTGGAAAGAATTAGGTGAAGTAGGTAATAAGGTCTGTGTATGCATGGGTTAATTTTCCATGAAGTCAGTGCTCAAAAATTTCGTTTATCAGGGGCCTCCCCGGTGGCGCAGCAGTTGAGCGCTGGGTTGCGAAGCTGCCCGCGGCCGCCGGTTCAATCCCCGGCTGCTCCCCGGCCATTGGAGGAGGGTCCCACATGGTGCGCAGACCTCTCCTGCTGCCCGCTGCTCCCCTCAGCAGTGTACTTCGGTTCTTCTGCCTGCTCTGCTCTCCCCTCTGGCTCGGGTGAATTCTCTCACCCTCCCGCGCTTCTGACTGTACCCAGTGCTTGTATAAATAAATAAATAAATCTTAAAATTTTTTTTTTTTTCATTTATCAGGCCATGCTGAACTGTGTAGCCTTCCTTTTTAAGCTTTGCCATGGCTGCTAAGCCTCGAGGTGCTGGTGTGTGTGTGTGTGTGTGTGTGTGTGTGTGTGTATCCACGCTGCTCTGTACTTTTTTTTTTTAAATGATTAGATTGGTGGGCATCATTATCATGTTTACGTACATGGTATGGTTTATTTCACGGTCAGATCTGAGAGTTTGGCACTTCTTTTTCTTCTACAAATAAGCTCCCTCTGGTTCCCCTTTCTTACCTTTGTCTGGCTGCATCTTGCGAGCTGGTTACTTCCATGAGTTCTCAAGTTAACCGGAGAATGTTTCTGCCTGGGTCAGCTCAGTGGCACCACACACACAGTGAGCTGCTCTCACAGGGTTCACTGGCTGTCTCCTTTGTCCCCATGTGCTTACCTAGCAAGAGTGTGCCCCCTGACAAACTTATCGTAACTCTCTCTCCCCTTCTCTCTGACCCCTCTTTGGCCAGGCGGGTGCCTCGGTGATGTCTGGTGCTGGAGAGAGCACTAATCCTGACAACAGCGAGCTCAAGTACTCAGGTCAAGATGGGCTGTACATAGGCGTCAGCCTGGCCTCTCCGGCTGAAGTCACATCCTCGGTGAGACAGGATTCCTGGTGCGCTCTCGCCCTGGCCTGAGCCACGTGGGTGGAGCAGAGGGCGCCTGCAGGGCCCCACTGGACCAGACCCCTGCTGACTTTTGTTTTGTCAAGCAGTCCACACTGATTGATGCAAGTATGCTGACAGAACATGCCTCTGACGCGTGATTTCCGTGCCTTTACTTTGAAGAAGATGTGTTTCCCAAGAGGTTCGCTCTGCCTTACTACTCAAGCCCCATCTCTGAAGAGAGACAGAAGACAGGTCTTCCTGGGAAGGGCCGGTGCAGTCACAGCGTTCAACCTGGCCACCGCCAGCCATCCTGCTCCAGGGACTGCCAGGGATTGATGTTTGCTGTGCCACTTCCAGAGACCGGGACTAGGACCGGGGCCTTGCCTGCTAAGGGATATTGAGAGCGATTTTTAAAAAAAGATTTTATGTCTATTGCCCCAAATCATGTACTTCTTCTGATTGGTTTTGGTTATTCCAGAATTTCTTCATACCTTTTCTACACCCAAATTTCACATGCGCTCATGGAGAAGACCATTTGAGGCCGTTTGGTACACACCTCTGGAGGCGGAGTCGTTCACAAGATCTCTTGTCAAAATGTTTCTCAGTTTTCGAGACTGCATCTTAACTGTAACTACACTGTGACTGATGTTTCTCAAAGTTCATATTGTGTGACTGATCTGAAGTCAGTCGGAATTTGTAAACAGGGTAGCAAACAAGATATTTTTCTTCCATGTATACAATAATTTTTTTAAAAAGTGCAATTTGCGTTGCAGCAATCAGTGTTAAATCATTTGCATAAGATTTAACAACATTTTTATAATGAATGTAAACATTTTAACTTAATGGTACTTAAATAATTTAAAAGAAAAATGTTAACTTAGACATTCTTATGCTTCTTTTACAACTACATCCCATTTCTATATTTCCAATTGTTAAAGAAAAATATTTCAAGAACAAATCTTCTCTCAGGAAAATTGCCTTTATCCATTTGTTAAGAATTTTTATACAAGGACACCAATATCTCCCCTTTATTTTACTGTGGAATATGTGCTGGAAAATTTGCAACAAAACTTTACTACCTAACAGATAACATTTGTAAATACTTTAGGCATCTGTACACACTATGATGAAGTCTCTAGTGTGACTAACCCACAGGGCAGGTTGGTTTACATTAATTTTTTTTTAATGGGATGTCATATGGAAACCTATTTCACCAGAGTTTTAAAAAATAAAAAAGGGTATTGTTTTGTCTTCTGTACAGTGAATTCCTTCCCTTTAAGTTTCATTTTAATACTGTATGTGGCTACAGATATTCATATAAAACAAGTGCATGTGGTATTTGCAAATTGCCTTACAGCCTTCATTTCAATGAATTGTCTTTTTCGGAACTGTTTATTACTTGGCTTTTTTGAAGTTGACAGATGTAGTTACCACTTCGAATTTGCATTGGGGGTGATTTTTATAAGTGAAAAGGACGTGGGATTCTATGACATTATCTGTGATAATAAGCATTCTGTTTAAGGTCAATTCTTAAAATCATCAAAATGTTCAGGGTGTTTTTCCCTCTGAATGTGAGACCACAAACTGGAATGGTTTCTGTTCTAGTTTTTCCTTTTACAAAGTGCACAAAGTATTAAAACTCTGCTGGGATTGCAGTCCTTACACTTACCAGAAGATGTCTAATGATCTGAACAGACTCTATCATTGGGGGATTTCAAAAAAGCAGGAGGCTGTTTCACCACACAAAAAGGCAGCATTTCATTTTGGCTGCCTAAGGGTAGGTTTTGACTTCTTTTCATATACTGATTACAGTTATTCTGTGTGATCCCTTCTGATTCTATTAGCTGATGGGAATTCTTCCCTTTGAGGTGGGGTTGTGTTGGGAGTCAGATTCAGGGCTGGTGTTGGTGTGTAAATCACCAAAGCTGAATGCACTGTGATACCACCTAATGGGTTAACAAGGGTTAAAAGTGCAGGGTTTGGAGTCAGACCATCAAGCTTCTGTTCCAAGCTCTGTGGTCTCAGGTAAGTTTTCCAACTCTCATTTTCCTCCTCTATACAATAAGGCCAATAACATATAACTCATAAGATTAAATGACATAATCCACTCGAATATGGGAACCTTGAGTGTTAACTTGGTTTTGAAGGAGGGTAGTGTGAGCTTGTATAATATGGGTGGATTGAATAATGTATTACTCCCTGTGCAGTATGGAGTATCAAAATTTATGGTTCTGAGAGTCTGTTCCTAGTCTCACCTGCACTTTCTGAGCAAAGCTGGGGAGCATGAAATGTGGGATCCCTCCCAGCATGGGGAGGCAGAGATGAAAAGATGCTTGAAGGATACCAATCTGAGTTGGCGGGATGTTTTATAGAACAAGGCTGGTCTGACAGTAGGAGCAAATAATTATTTACATGAGCACATTTCCCCCTTTCCATGCATTTACTCAAAGCATTCGTTACTTTGAGTGCCTTGTGGTAGGCTGAGGACTGTTAGTTATTATGTTTTCATTAGAAAATGAATTTTTTTTATTGGGGTGTCCAAACGATCTTTTTTTTCTGAGGTGGACTCAAGTAGTGTTTCCTCAAACCCTAAGATGCCATTAGGCTCTAAATTCCTCTAGCTTCCATGAAATAAATTATGATGGCGGAAGGGGAGGGAATTTCTTATAGTCTGTGCTAACACAATGAACTCCACCAGCTTGGGCCTTTCCATTGGTAATTTTCTTACATGTGATTGCATGAAGCAGAAGCTTCATAATTTCTTCCAAAACACAATCATAGCAACTGTCCTCTAAAGTGCGGCATTAAAAAGTAAATCATTTCTCAATAGGGAGTGTATTTAAATAGACAGTACACCTCAGCTTAGAGAGTCCTCAGATCCAGTGCTGTGCATTCTCACTGGTGACTGATTTTAGATCATCTTATGTAACTGAAGGCTCTACCTGGGGTCTCTCTTCAGGGTCACTTAGTGTTGCTTCCTGGTTCCAATGGGAGGGTCAGGAAAGCAAAGGGAGACATTCATTTCCCCCTGCAAATAATTTAACTTCTTGCTCATGGGAAATGTTTTCTCTAGTCCTTGGAAATTTGATGTAATTTGAGATCATAGATAAATTAGCTGCTGGGAGGTTAGTACAGCAAGCCATTGGTGGTTTTGCCAGATTCTAAGCTGCTTTCAGTTTGGGGCATTGTGGTGGCTGCAGTGCTAAGTTCTTTCTATGAACTGTCTTGTCCACAGGAGCTTTGGATCCTCCTGATTGAGAAGGAAATAATATTTGTGTGTGTGGGAGGGAGGAGGGTAGTTAGTGGAAGGACAGAGCAGAGACCAACCATCAGAATAAGGGCAGTTCTAGCTAGCTGGTGGCTTGTTTGGGGCTAGAAATAGCAAGTCAATTTGGCAACATTAGTTATCTCCTATTGTTTGGCAGTTCTAATGGATAGTCAGATATGAGTTTGATTATTTAAGTGAGAAATACTAATAAATTTGTCAGACAAAAATCTTTCAAAACTGAGGTCTGGGAATAAATATTGGGTACCTACAATTCTGGCCAACTGAAGCTTTGGGATAGGTTCTGTGTGGCTGAAATTTCAGCAGCAGCTGGATTCTGGGAGGAAAGGAAGCATGTAGTCGTCAGTTGGTTCAACTGAAAGATATAGGTAAGCTAAGAGCCTAAATAAATGACTCCCTTTCTGTCTTTGTTTTTTTTTTGCGTAGAAGAACTGCTGGGGTGTAGGCCACAGGTGCCTGGAGGGAGGTGAGAGGATTCATCAGAGTGGGGAGCAAAACAGGTGGATTTTACTGAAATACACTGCTAAGGGGAACAAGGGGTGGGAGTGGGGGCAGGAGAGGTCTGCTGCTCCATGTGGGTCAGCTCCCTGGCCAGGGATCACTCAGGACATGGCAGTGATAGTGCTGAGACTTAATCCCTAGGCCACCAACAAGATGCACTCTCTCTCTGTAAATAAAATATGTAAATAAATTATGGTTGATAGTTCCTAATATTTTCTGAGGGAAAGTTCTGATGTTACAGGTGTTATAGGTGCATGTGGAGGGAGGATCCACAGCATTTCTCAATTCCACCCTGGGAAACTATTGGGACAGTTGGCACCTCGCTCTTCCTCCTGCTCAGTTGCTATCCCTAGAACTGGCTGTCCTACAGTTGATGTTGCTATTTCAGTTAAAGAGATACTTATTTGGTTTGGTAGCTTTTTTTTTTTAATTAACTTTTTAAAGATGTCTACAATATAGCTATTAATGATGAAATAGCTGATGAAATGATGTTTAATTAGCAGAAGAGTGTGTATGTCTATTACCAGTGGGCCCCTATGGTGAGAGATTCTTCCAGATATTCTTTAGTTTTGGAGCAAGTCATTTCCTGTACCTCAGTCTCTGCTGCAGATAAGTCAGGCCATGAGCAAAGGTCCCATCCATCTGCATGTGTTCCCCACAGTCCCTTATGCAGATAATATGCGGTGAGGTAATAATGAGTCTGTGGTCTGGTCTGGGGTCCCAGAGTGGAGGAATCACTTCAGACCCTCTCCATGACTAGGGATGCTGGTGGAATTGGAATCTCCTTCCAGTCCTTTTCCTGCTGCTTCACCACCTTGGTTTTCATCTATAAAGCCAGTCCTCCTGCTGCCTTGGACACAGAGAGTCAGTCCTGGTCATAGTCACGAATACCGGGGCTTGGTAGGAATTGCCATGGCCCCCTAATGCTAACCTTGCTTGGTCTGGGCCCACTGTTGTAAACCTTATACAGTGATATGGACCCAGACCGGAAAATGGAAAAGTCTGGCAGCTGAGCAGTCCCCCGAACAAGGAAAAAACAGCTTTGCTTTGCTTGGCCCATTACTTCAATATCTTGTAGTTGGTTTTTTAGTTCTTGGAAACAACCAGCTTTTCATTGTTTGCTTTCTGTGTCTCTCTTTAGCTATTATGGAGTTTCCCTCTCTGTGTTTTCACCCCTGCTCTCAGTTTTACCCGTATTTTTGTGAATTCTATTCTTTAACACTCCAAGAATGGCCTGAAATTATATTAGCAAGTTGTTATCTAGCATTTACTATGTGCCAGTTTCTATACAGAGTGCTGTACCTATATCAGTTTGCTATCCTCACACCAAGTGAATGAGGTAGTGCTTGTCCCATTTTTCAGATGTGTCTACAGAAACACAAAAGTTAAGCAACTTGTCTAAGATTACACAGTGGTAGAACTGGCATTTGAATCCCATCAGGCTCCTTCTAGGACAATAGTCTTAATCATTCTACCATATTACATTTTATGGTAATATGGTAGATTTGATTAAATATTTTTCTAAATATTGAATTGAAGAACACAGAAGAGGGGTCAGAACTGTCTGAGATTTCACATGTTCTTTATCCCCAGCATCTCAGAAATACATGGTTGTATTTCTAGTCAACACAGGTATGCCTCGGTTGAAGAAAGCTAGTAAATGTGTATGCTTCTTCTAGTTACAGGTTTCTTTACAACATACACTGTAGATGCTGTTACTGGAAAGTGGTGAGTTTGGAGGTTTCCATCACACTGTCTTTGAATAATTCACTTCTCTCCTGTGCATGTAATATCAAGTAAGGCTCTTTCCTAGCTCAAAAGATTAGGATAAAGCATTTTGCAAAATCTAGAAAGCTGGTGAAATTATTTTTTTTTTAAGATTTATTTATACAAGCACTGGGCACAGTTAGAAGCGCGGGAGTGTTAGAGGATTCACCAGAGCCAGACCAGGGAGCAGAGCAAGCAGACTGACAAAGTACACTGCTGAGGGGAGCAGCGGGCGGCAGGAGAGGTCTGCGCACCATGTGGGACCCTCGCCCAGCGGCCCAGAGGCTGTGGGCAACTTCGCAACCCAGCGCTCAACCGCTGCGCCACCGGGGAGGCCCAAGCTGGGGAAATTATTTTATTTATTTATTTATTTATTTATTTATTTTTAAAGAGGCGTGTATTATTTATTTATTTGTTTGTTTGTTTATTTGTTTGTTTATACATGCACTGGGTACAGTCAGAAGCGCGGGAGGGTGAGAGAATTCACCAGAGCCAGAAAGGGGAGCAGAGCAAGCAGACTGACAAAGTACACTGCTGAGGGGAGCAGTGGGCGGCAGGAGAGGTCTGTGCGCCATGTGGGACCCTCTGCTGGTGGCCGGGGAGCAGCCAGGGATCGAACTGGCTCCGACGAGGTCGCGGGCAGCTTCGCAACCCAGCGCTCAACCGCTGCGCCACCGGGGAGGCCCTGGTGAAATTATTAATAGTGTCTAAAACTGAACAGCAGAGAGAACAAGGAATACTTCATTGGGTGTAAAATCTCTTTGTGGTTGTGCCAAAGGACTTTAAGGAAAACTTGTTCAAGATCTTGGCAATGGTTCCTCAGACTTTATCTTTTTATTTTTTTTTTATTTTTTTTTTTTTAATAGAGGCATGTTTATTTATTTATTTATTTGTTTGTTTGTTTTGTTTATACATGCACTGGGTACAGTCAGAAGCGCGGGAGGGTGAGAGAATTCACCAGAGCCAGAGCGGGGAGCAGAGCAGGCAGAAAGACCGAAGCACACTGCTGAGGGGAGCAGCGGGCGGCAGGAGAGGTCTGAGCACCATGTGGGACCCTCCTCAGGTGGCCGGGGAGCAGCCGGGGATCGAACCGGCGCCGCAGAGGCCGCGGGCAGCTTCGCAACCCAGCGCTCAACCGCTGCGCCACCGGGGAGGTCCGACTTTATCTTTTTAAATAAGTGTTCATTACTGCTGACATCATTGTTGCCTTTCTTTTGATAAGTGTGCATCGCCTGTGATCTGTTAGGGTTCTCTAACTTCTTTGTGTGCAAGAATCACACATAGTGTTTGCTAAACTTGCAGAGCTCCTAACTCCTTCCCCAGGGAGTCTGATTCTGCAGGTTCTTTGTAAGACTGAGGACTCTGCATTATTTAGTCTTTGCATTCATTAAATTTTCTTGAATAGTACAGCATTCAAAAGTTATAAAGGGAATATAGTGAAAAATAATTGCCCTTCTAACTAGTCATTCAGTTCCTCTCCCAGATAGAATATATTTTATTGGCTGTCAATATATACACAAACATTCAAGTATATATGTTTTATACTTTTACACATACAATGCACATTGCTTTGCATATTATTTTTTAATCTTCATAAATCTGAGTAGATCATTATTTAATCAGTGTTGAAGAACATTTGTTTCCAGTCTTTTGCTATTTAAGCAATATTGCAATTATTTTTTTTTAAAGATTTATTTATTTATTTTTATACAAGAACTGGGGTACAGGCCAGATGCACCGGAGGGTGAGAGGATTCACCAGAGACAGAGCAAGGAACAGAACAGGTAGACTGATGAAATACACTGCTGAGGGGAGCAGCAGGCGAGGCAGGAGAGGTCTGTTTTGCCAATATTGCAATTATTGTCCTACATATGTGTTATTTCTTTTCTTTTTTTTTTTTTTTATTTATTTTTTTTTTTATAGAGGCATGCTTTATTCATTTGCTTGCTGGTCTGTTTGCTTTGTTTATACATGCACTGGGTACAGTCAGAAGCGCGGGAGGGCGAGAGAATTCACCAGAGCCAGAGCGGGGAGCAGAGCAGGCAGAAGGACCGAAGTACACTGCTGAGGGGAGCAGCGGGCGGCAGGAGAAGTCTGCACGCCATGTGGGACCCTCCTCCGGTGGCCGGGGAGCAGCCGGGGATCGAACCGGCGCCGCAGAGGCCGCGGGCAGCCTCGCAACCCAGCGCTCAACCGCTGCGCCACCGGGGAGGCCCTACATATGTGTTATTTCACTCAAGCAGATACACATAGTGTATTTGCCTATAAGTGGCATTACTGAATGAAGGGATGATTCTATTTTTGATTTTGATAGATTGCCAAATTGTTCTCACAGAGGTTTTTCTAATCTACACATCAAACACTCTGTTTTTTGAGTTTTTTTGCTTTTTTTTCTTTTTTGTTTTGCATTTGCATTGTTTTGCATTTGTATTGTTAATGAGGTCGAACATCTCTACCTATGATTGAGTCACATGTAATTCTATTTGAACTCTTTGATTATCTCTCTTCATATTCTCTACCTATTTTTTTTTCCCTATTACTAGTTTTATAGATTTGAGAATTTCTTTACCTATTGGAGGAAATTAGCCCTTTGTTTGAAATATACTTTAATGATGTTTATCCCTAGTTTTTCATTTGACTTTGTTTTCATTTTTTAAAAAACCATGATTTTCTTTTATAAAAGGTAATTTAATTTATCATTCTTTTGTGGTATTGGAGTTGTTTATGATATATAGGAAAATCTTTTCCATTATTAAGATTATTTTTAAAAGTTCCATGTTCTAATTTTTTTTATGGTATTGTTTTGAGGTTTACATTTTGTTTCCATCTGGAATTTTGGTTGTTGGTTGTTGCAATATGTATATTTTCAGTCTTATGTCTTTCTATGTGGCAACCTAATTGTGCCATCATCATTACCTGAGTCATCCATTTACTCCCACAGATTCAAAATGGGAATTAAAAAATAAATATAAGAATTCACATAATATGCATTCTTGTAGAAATTCTTATGGGGATATATGTTTAACAATTTTTTTTCTATATCTGTGTATTTCTGGATTTTCTATTTAAATATAATCTGTTCATATTTTGATACCATTTGACTTTGGCTATTTATATTTTGCAAAATATTTTAATATCCAGAGGACTAGCCCCTTCTTATAATCTATAAAAATAGATTATATTGTATTTTTACTTGTATTTTTACTTATTTATTTTTCCACATAAACTTTAGAATCAGCTTATTCAGTTGAAAATATCCTGCTGGTATTTTTATTGGAATGATATTAAAATTTTAAATTAACTTAGGGAAAATTAATATCTTTATTATGTTGTCTTCTTATTCAAGATAAAATGTATCTTTTCCTTTTAAAAAATAATTTTCTGTGTCCCTCCCTCATTAGCATTTAAACTTTTCTTCATGTGGCTATTGTACATATTTCTGGTTAAGTTTACTCCTGGTTGTTTCATACATTTTGATGTTAGTGTAACTCTTTCAATTATTTTTGTGCATGCTAAGAGTATATTAAGCTTGCTTTTCAGAATGATTTCGAATTTTCATATCCTTTTTTTTTTCAGTAGATTTTCTTATGTTTTCTGGGGATAAGATGCAGTTTCTATTTGCACTGGTGATGGTTTGGGTGTTGGTGGGAAACCCTGCCCTCACTGTTCTCTAAGGAGATAGAGACTATCTTACTCTCCTAAATCCTGGAATCACAGTAACTTTAGAGATGAAAGGGACCTTGCTGAGGTCCAGCTAAGGAAATTGAGTCTCAGAGTTTAGTTCTGCTGGTCAGTATGGGACCTGGGTTTCTAGATCCTTTGGCCAATGGCCTTGACTCTAGGCTAAACTGGGAGATCACTGAATGATACTTGGAAAAGACTGTAACTTTTTACTACTCCATTAATCAGTTTAGGAATTAACAAGCTTCTGAGACTTGGTCCAATATATTTTTGCAAAGATTGCCTGTGTCCCCAAACACCAGGGAGTAACACAAATGACCATGGTCCCTGGTGAATCATCGGGCTGCATTTTGCTGGAATAAATGAAAGCATTGTGAGAGCAGGAAATCTCTCTCTTGTTATACTTGCTACACCTACACTTGCTAACCCAAACAACTTCTCTTTCTGAGTCTCTGGAGATCAGTTATCACCAAATGGATAGATATTCTCTGCAAAGTTTTTGCAGGCTTCACAGCTTGTAAATAAGAGACTCTATTCTTCATGCCTCCCTCTTGTTGAATCTGGCAAAGGAAAGCTCTCTGACTCCAACTGGCTTGGGCAATGACCAGTAGCTGGGCTGGCTGAGAGAGAGTGAGAACTCCAGTTGAATGACCTTCGCAAGCCCACTATACTTAATCCAGACACCCTGTGTTTTGAGAATACAAGACATCTTATTTATTAAAATCATGTTAGGAGCACCTGTTGTGTATTATCTATCATTTATAAAGCTGTACAAAGATACCAACTGGACCATGGAACACACTGGCATAGACTGCAATGTTCAATGTTTCTATAATTCTTATCCTGTTTACTTTTTTCTTACAAACTTATTATTCTTTGTAGTTTTACCAGCATTTTTGTTTGTTTGCTTATTTCATTTTGTTGATTACTTGAGTCTACAGGAAACCTTTTTAACTCTTTGACACCACTAGATTCAGTGGTGAAATTTCTAGTTGGGTCCTTCCTGGAGAAATTACTGAAGGTGTCTCCTCCAAATATATATTAGAGATTTTTTTTTTATTTTGGAACTATTCATAGGAAGCCTTTATCAAGCTGGTGACTCAGGTTGAGAGTTCATGCTGAAGTCTTGAATCTGAACTTTGCAGGGTAGGAGGCCAAACTCTCAGGCAGGATTTCTTGGATCATGGCAGTAAAGGGATCTTC